CCGGTACTCGGGTGTATTTTTGTCCGAATTAACCCGATCGGAAATGTCGGAAGGTGATTTTCAAGGCAAAGACCCCACATAGTAATTCGTTGGCCGGGTTGTCTTATAAATTTAAAGAGCACGTTAAGAGAGTATAATTTTATTTGTACATGTTTATTGGTTCAAAAGTTATTGAATTTTTATGGCCAACGATTTACTATGTGGCCCGACATGTGACCCAATTATGTTCGCAAAATCGATCCTAAGCCCTGTCAATCTGTAGCAGACACCCAGGTAAGCCGTGATATATTTCAATTAGTGAGATATAATTCTAACGGTATTAAACATCTTGCTTTTATATAATTTAAAAATGTTAAATATTGTGGGAGAAATTAAAGGCGAAGCAAAATCGATTTTTTATAATCATTTAATATGGAACGCAGATCCCAAAAATTAATTTAAAAAAATTTGTTAGCGGCGATAGGATACACCCAATAATAGATGACGTTGTAAAAGAGTATACCAAGTTTTTGTTACGAATTATATGGATAAGAACAAAGATTTATATCCACGTTAACATCTATCCAGATTAACAGGGTACCATGTGTGCACAATGCTGCGGTATGTAATCGTTGTAGTTTTCTCAAAGAACATGATTCTATCACTATGGCACTACATATAAGTTTACCTTCATGGTATGCGTTTTCATCAAACCTATTTTATTTTTTACTTTCTTTTGTGCTGTCATTTTATTTCTTGTTTAAGAATATTGATGGCGAATCTTTATAAAAATTATATCATGTATTACTGAAAATTTTAAATGACTTGTGTATTGGTCATTGCTATTTTAGAATTATATATATCATTTTTTCATTATTAATTTTCCATCATATACTGTACGTATAAAATCTAACTCCGTACGCAAATAATCCTGTGTTACGCTTTGTTCGTCATTGAGTAATGGTAAATGTTGAATAACTAAATGTATAAATAATAAAGAAGTCTGCGATTATAAATTTCCGTGATAACATCACGGTTAACTGAAACACTACCGTTTGACCTATTGACTAATAATAGGTTATGACCTTATGACCTGTTATGACTTATAAACTTACTATCGCATGATGACATCTTGGTCGGATATGACCTAAAATAGTCAACACTGACAGTAAATTGCCAAATAGTGCGTCCGGATATTTATAACGACTAACACCTTACTTAGAGTGTTTTGGTGAGTATAATCAAAGATAAATAACTGATATTATAATAAAGTCAAAATTTTATACCCTATATCGTCACTGGGCATAAGTCATAAGGAGACGGATAACGATTATTTATCCGTGAGGAATCTATGATATCCTGATATGTGGTTAACCTACGGATATTTGGATAACAGGTCCATGATTCCAGATTCTAATACCAAAATCATGAACAACGTGCTTGCCAAGGAATGTTTTTTAATCATGCCCTACAACCAGTGGAGTTCAATGGAGACCAATGGAGCTGCGAATGGAACCAATGGAGCTCTGAATGGAGCCAATAGATACTAGTTTTTGATCTCCATTCGCATAACCATTGAGCACCATTGGCTCCATTGCCAACCCTGCCTACAACATAACCGCCTTTTATTTAAGATTTCAAAAAGTGAAATAAAGTTGGCGTTCTAAAAGTATATTCATTAGAACCATGGAACTAAGAGAATACTCCGCTATCATCAATGAGACCATAAAATTTTTGGAAAAAATAAACAGCCGTTTTGCATAACGATAATGGAGGTTTACAAATGAGATATTCCGAGATGAATTAAATATAAATGATGTCATAAAAGAATATTTACCAGAGGAATAACATCTAAAATAAGATAATAGCTTCAAAAAGAAATTCTATATTTATTTCAAACGAATTTATTACCATAACAAAAGGTAGAGATAATAAAATACTCTAGCGGACAGCATAAGTCCTGCAATGTAATGAATCAAAAAGCTTTGATCACATAAATAGTACTTGGAAAATTAGGAAATTTAAACGAACCTTAACAGAAGGGAAATTGTGTGCATTAATTTTTTGCTTGATAATTAATAAAATATGACGACGTACATTTGTTTCCGCCTTGTAACTAAATTATTGACGTTGAAGAAGTACATTAGTCGTGAATATTTAAAAATTGAAGAGTCATTAATAAACTAGAATAATCGTTCAGCAAGAGAGTTTTTGGTCACATATCGCAAATTTCATCCTTGAGCAGTTGACACCAGGCAATGTGTCGCAAAGATGGCATTCGAACGCAAATTATCCTTTTTACATCATTTGAAGTTTATTTTTTCTTAAAATGTAAAAAATACTTACAAGAAATACAATTCAAGTTAAAAAAAAAAAAAAAATTTTAAATTTATAACAGTTGTCACATTCAAAAAAAAAAAAAAAAAACCCGCTTTTCAGGAAATTTATTGTTTTTTTAATTGACCAATCAGAATGCAAAACAACATCACGTTAACCCTATTTCACATTCTGATTGGTAGTAATTCATCGCAATTGGAGTTAACTCATCATGCTATGACATAAACCTTCTGAATCATGTTCAACCTTTTTTACTAAATTATATAAAAATGAAACATCGCAAAGAAGTTATACTTAAATCCAGGTACAAGAATTTCGATGCCATTAGAATTTTAATGCGGCAAAAGAATGAAATTTTATCGAAATTTTTGCAAAAACCTAAAATTATCGAAATAAACATTTGATTGTCCCTGACCGCTTTCACCATTTTGTTACGATTTTTTGACATTCACGATAAAAGGGATAAAAGGTTAATTTACTATAGATATCAATTTTATACTGTATCAGAATAATTAAACATCGATGTTTGAATTGTTTTCGAAATCTTATGATGATAGGCAGACCCAAAGAGTAAAAGCGAATTATGATTATTCTGGAGATTTAACAATGTGTGTGTATGGACAGTTATTAGCGGATACCACACAATTTGGAAACTTATCTGTGCGGCAAATAAAGAAAAACTATGAGCAACTGTTTACAAGTGTGCGCACTACTTACAAAATGTTAATTTTTTTTGTGCGGCATCCGTACACCTGTTCAAAAGAAAATGTGCGCAAAATTTTGTTTCTGTGTGCTGCGCACAGTCCGCATAGCGAAAAATAGTCACAGGTGATTAGTTAACAATTGAAGCTCTGAATTTTAGTCGTACCTGGGTTATATCACCTCTTTTATCTCTATATGTTAATTTTTTTGGAGATATTTGTGATATAATTCAATATATAAAAACATAAAAAAGAAATTTATTCTGCCTAAATATGGGGACATAGCTGAGGTAACAAATGAGAGGGGATATAGCCCAGTGGATATATAACCCAGGTACGTACGACTGTATTAGCTATTAATACATCGAAATTTTTTTCGCAAAACATCTAACACTTGTAACACCACTATCATATTTGTCCCAATTCAACTAATGCATCATATTTTTCATCACAAATATTCATTCTAGGAGCAAGTAAAAATTTCACCGTGGAAAGTCCGATTTTGTAAGAAACTCTTGCCTATCGAGATATTAAGATAGATATATGAAATTTTTTTGAAATTAGCATATAATTTACAAATTATATCAACTCGCACTTTTTCCCGGTTCCCCTGCTGATAATGCCATATCAACTAATCTCGAATGAAATTCAATGCCAGTTAATTGTTCTTTAGATTCCAAATGGCCGTGAACGAAATTTATATCGATTAAATAATCTCGTACTTATTAATATATTATGTAATTGAATTGTAAGTTTGAAGTAATAATTACAAATTATTATTACTTTAAATGATGTGGATTTCATCAATTGAAAAAAAAACTATATGCTTCCTAGATTCGATGTATATCCTTATTTTTGTTTTCGTTATTCATACCAAGATCAATTTCTTGTAATTCTATACTGTATATCCACCTGATTTCAGGATTCTAACTATCCGGTTGATGTGTGTTTCCCATTGAGTTTTAGATATTCCAGCGTTAAGCAAATTATCCATCGTGGATGTTACAAATTTGAAAATAAGCATTAGGAGGTGTCATTTTGAAAAGTGGGGGAAATATCGATACCGTAATGTCGAAGAAGAATATAGTGCAGCTATTTCACGAATCCGAATTCCAGAACCACATCTATTAACAATGCATGTCAAAAATTAAAGTTAAATTTTACTCATGATGCAAACTATTTTAAAAGATTACAACAATCACCCGATGTCCAAAATTTTGGCGTTTTCACTTCTTTGATGGGCAATTGCTTTTCCAAGCACTCTTTATTGCGTGATGCATTAATTTTAACCTATAAACTTCTTCTGAATCAATTGGCATCGGATATGGAGAATTTCCAATATTTTCATTAAATTTTATCATTAATATCTTTAACCATAGTAACCTGATTGATCAGCCTTTGCACTTTTAAAAAAAAAAATTTAAAAAGCTAATATTGTCCAGAGCGCAGCGGAGAACTTAAATACAAAAAAATGTCTTGGGTTTTCTCACATGATTACCAACTAATAAGCACTTAACGTTAAGAAATTATTATACAAATTGTTTATCGGGACGTATATGTTGTAAGTGGGATTTTTATATATAAATTCCGAGTCCACTTAAATTCCGTTCCCACCTACAACATATATACATTGCCATCCCTAAGACTTATCATGTTCCTGCATATGTATCTTTTCTTTTTATCATTTGATTCAACAAATTAATTCTTTTAAACAATTCATTAATGTTAATTAATTCTTAAGTTGATTTAATTTTAATTGATTAACGTTAATTCTTTTAGCTATTTAATTAATGTCGGGGATGATGCTGAAATCGGATGATGCTGAAATTCACGTGATCACATGATGATCTTCTTTATAAACACCTAGCATTACTATCGCCGTTGGTGTTAGAGTTAGGGTTAGGGTATGGAAGGTTTTTTGGTTTGATTTT